ATTTGCCCACTTTTCCCCAACCTAAGATAACCACTTTCAGTATTCCTTCATTGTTCCTTTATGTAAGTATCACCAAATAAAATTTTACTTCTACTCCATGAGTAGTTATACATGAACATTGATCTGTACTTTTTAAAAATTAAAATTCTTATTAAAATTCTTAAGAAAGAATGCGGAGAGATTACCCTTGACATAGATGTACCTTTTACACAGTTTTCCCCAGTGGTAACATTTTACAGAGATGTAGTAGAGTATCACAACCGTGATACTGTTGTTGGTACTGTCTACAGATTTGGCTCTCAGTGCTGCATTTTCTTCGTACTCTTTGTGTTTAGATTGATAGATCCACTACCATGTTAAGGTACGAAACAGTCGTATCACAAGGATGCCTCCTGTTGCCATTTTATGATCACATCCACCACTAGCCAGACTACATTGCTCGGTCACCGTTCCTAACCCCTGACAATCCCTAATCTGCTTTCCAGTTCTAAAATTCTGTCTTTTCAAAAATGGTACATAAATAGAACCATACAATATGTAACCTTTTGGGATCGGCCTTTTTCACTTGGCATAAGCCCTGTGAGATTGATCCAAGTTGTTGAATGTATTCATAGCTCATTACTTTTTATTGCTGAGTGGCACTGCATGGTGCTTACATGTAAAGCTTAACAGTTCACCTGTGGAGAGACATCTGGGCAGTTTATAGTTTTGGGCTATTATGAATCAAGCATCTATGAACATTTGCATACAGATTTTTATGTGAGTGTAAGTTTTCTTTTTCTGGTATTAATGCCAGGAATATTCCAGAATTGATTTTAAGTCAGAAATTGTTAAGGTGTCAAAAATAAAGCTACTAAGACCCATCATGAATATAGAAATTCAATGAGGAAACTTTTTTTGTACACTACTGAGTAACAGATGGGCACGAAAGACTATTTTTATCATGCATTTCAGAAAAGGGAAATGTGAAATTATATACATATATATTAGAGAATTATAAAATTTGTGAATAAGTAAATTATGTTTTTAACTTAAAAGCTTAGCTGATTTTCATTCATTGTTTTTTTAAGTAGAGGTGTAATTCACAGAGGATAATAGTTATCCTTTTAAAGTATATAATTTAGCAGTTCTTAGTATCTTCACAAAATTATACAACCATCACTCTCTATATTCTGGAACATTTTCATTACCCCCAAAAGAAATTCCATGCCCATTAGGAGTCACTCCCCATTCCCCCACTCTCACCTTCTGGTAATCATAACTTACTTTTTGTGCCAATGAATTTGCCTATTCTAGATAGTTCATATAAATGGAATCCTATCAATTGTGGTCTTCTGTTTCTTGCTTCTTTCATTAATATAGTGTTTTTAAGGTTCATCAATGTACTTCATTTCCTTTTTTATTGAGATATAAGTCATATACCATACAGTTTACTCCTTTAAAGTGTGTGTCTCAGTGGTTTTTGTTATGTTCATAGAGTTGTACCTCTGTTGCCACAGTCAGTTTTGAAACATTTTCCTTACCCCCAAAAGAAACGCCATGCCTCTTAAATGTCACTCTCAACCCAATCCTAGGCAACCACTCATCTACTTTTTGTCTCTATAGGTTTGCCTATTTTGGATACATAATGTAAAGGAATAATGTAATATGTGGTGTTTGATGACTAGCTTCTTTGATTAAGAATAATTTTTCAGGGGTGCCTGGGTGGCTCAGTGGTTAAAGCCTCTGCCCTCAGCTCAGGTTATGATCTCAGGGTCCTGGGATCGAGTCCCGCATCGGGCTCTCTGCTCAGCAGGGAGCCTGCCTCCTCCTCCTGTCTCTCTCTGCCTGCCTCTCTGCCTACTTGTGATCTGTCTGTCAAATTAAAAAATAAATAAAATAAAAAAGAATAATTTTTCATGGCTCATCCATGCTGTAGAATGTGTCAGTACTTAATTTTTTTGTTACTGTTGAAGAATAATCCATTGTATGGATACACCACGTTTTATTGATTGTATCAGGTGAACATTGGGGTTGTTTCTACTTTCCATCTATCATGAATAATGCTGTTATGAACTTACACTTGTACAGGTTTTGTGTAAATATGTGTTTTTGGTTCTCCTGGTTGTATACCTGAGTGTAATTGCTGGATCCTGGGGTAACTGTATACTTCAGCATCTGAGGAACTGCCAGACTCTTTTCTGCAGCAGCTGTATCATTTTACATTCTCATCAACAGTGAATGAGGTTTCTGATTTGTCCACATCCTCGTCAGTGCTTGTTAGTGTCCCTCTACTATTTAGCCATTTTAGTCAATGTCGAGTGGTATCTCTGTGGGCTCGATTTCCATCTTTGATGGCCAGTTATATTGAACATGTTTTCCCATGCTTATTAGCCATTTGAATACCTTCTTTAGAGAAATGTTAGTTTCAATCCTTTGCCCGTTTTTAATTGGGTTATTTGTTTTTTTGTTACCAAGTTGTAATACTTATTTATATATTCTAGATAGAAGTCCCTTAACAGGTATATGATTTACACAACATTTCCCCATTTATGGTTTTTTTCACTTTCATGATGGTTTCCTTTGAAGCACAAAAATTTTAAATTTTGACCATGTCTGATTTATCTATGTTTAGTTATGTTGCTTTTGGTATTAGAGCTAAGAAACCATTGTTTTATCCGAGGTCATAAAGGTTTATGCTTTTGTTTTATTCTAAGAGTTTTATAGTTGTCACTTTTACATTTAGATCTTTGATCCATTTTGAGTTAATTTTTGTATATGGTTGAGGTTCAGGACCAACTTCATTATTGTGCATGTGGATATCCAGTTGTCATAGCACCATTTGAAAAGACTGTTTTTATCCCCCATTGCACTTTCCTTTTTTGACTGAATATGGATTGTGGCATTCTTTGCATATCAGTACAGAGAAAGCCTCCTCATTCTTGTTTTTTCTATTGTCCTTTTAAAAAGCTTGCATCCTGTCTTTTATATGGACATAATTAAAATGCATTTAGCCAGCTCTCTCTTGATGAACACCTGGGTTGTTTCTAATCTTTTGCTGTTACAAACAATTCTGTAGTAAGCAGTGTTGTACATACATGATTTCGTACATGTGCAGGCATATCTGAGGATAGATTCCTGAAGCCAGATTGCTGGGCCAGGTGGTAAGCAACTGGTAAATACTACCAAATTTTTTAGGATATGAGACAGAAAAGATTAGTCTTTAAAATATTAATACTGAAATTTTGTTTAGAATTACACTGTCAGTAAAATAATTAAAATATAATGTGCATATAGTAGTTGAAGAGAATATAGAATAACAGTAGCCACCTTTGTAGAAAGGTGTAGAATACATATAGAATGATAGCAGCTACTATTATTAGGCTCTTATAATGTGATAATAGGTATTCAGTGTAGTAAATTGTGGTAGTAGTACATAGTTTATTTCATTTAATCTTTTCTAGCAGTTCAGTTTTGTTAATGTGAAAACCAAAGCCTGTAGGGGTTTCCTGACAGTCATGTAGAGGGTGAATGGTGGTATCATCTAGAATTTTAGGGGTGGTTTTTGGAGTCCTTCCATCAGAGCTTGAGTTCTGGCTCTGATATCTTGAGCAAGTTACTTAATCTTTATGAGCCTTAGTTTGCCATTGTAATTGTTTTTGGGGTGCCACAAACCATGCCCAAATAAAATAGTAAACTTAATAAATCTGTGTGTTCTGACTGCTCCACCGACTGGCATTTCCTATTTCTCTTTCTCTCCTTGGGAGGCTCTATTCCCGGATAGACAGCAATACTGAAATTAGGCCAATTAACTGTACAGTAGCCTTTAAGTGTTCAAGTGAAAGGTAGAGTCACACGTCTCTTTAAATCAAAAGCTAGGGGCGCCTGGGTGGCTCAGTGGGTTAAGCCTCTGCCTTCGGCTTGGGTCATGATCTCAGGGTCCTGGGATCGAGTCCAGCATCGGGCTCTCTGCTCAGTAGGGAGTCTGCTTCCCTCTCTCTCTCTCTCTCTCTGCCTGCCTCTCCGTCTACTTGTGATCTCTCTCTGTCAAATAAACAAATAAAATCTTTAAAAAAAAAAATCAAAAGCTAGAAATGATTAAGCATATTGAGGAAGGCATGTTGAAAGCCAGGATAAGCTGAAAGGCCTCCTCCACCAAACAGCAGCTTTTGATGGTAAAGGAGAAGTTGCTGAAGGAGATTAAAAGTGCTATTCTAGTGTACACACACGTGATAAGGAAGCAAACAGACTTATTACTGATGTAGAGAAAGTTTTAGTGGTTTAGACAAAAAACCATACTAGCCACAACATTCTCCTAAGCCAGAGCCTAATCCAGGGCGAGGTCGTAACTCTTTAGTTCTGTGAAGGCTAAGAGAGGTAAGGAGGCTGCAGAAGAAAAGTTTGAAACTGGCAAGGTTTGGCTCATGAGGTTTAAGGAAGCCATCTCCAGAACATGAAAGTGCAAGATGAAGTAGCACATGCTGTTGTAGGAGCTGTACAAGTTAACCAGGAGATCCAACTAAGATAATTCAGGAGGGCGGCTACATTAAACAGCAGATTTGCAATGTAAATGACACAGCTTTCTATTGGAAGAAGATGCCGTCTAGGACTTCAGTAACTAGAGAAGTGAAGTCAGTGCCTGGCTTCAATTTTAAGACAACCTGACTCTTTTTTTTTTTTTTTTTTTAAAGATTTTATTTATTTATTTGACAGAGATCACAAGTAGGCAGAGAGGCAGGCAGAGAGAGACGGAGAAGCAGGCTCCCTGCTGAGCAGAGAGCCTGGTGTGGGGCTCGATCCCAGGACCCTGAGATCATGACCTGAGCCGAAGGCAGAAGCTTTAACCCACTGAGCCACCCAGACGCCCCAACCTGACTCTCTTATCACAGGCTCATGCAATTGGTGACTATAAGTTGAGGCCAGTGATCATTTAACATTCTGAAAACTCCTACCGCACTTAAGAATGATGCTAAGTATACTTTCTTTCATCTATAAATGGCACAAGGCCTGGATGACAGCACATCTGTCTACAACATGATTCGTTGAATATTTTTAAGTCTACTCTTGAGACCTCAGAAAAAAAATTTTCTGTCAAAATATTACTGCTTATTGGGGTGCCTGGGTGGCTCAGTGGGTTAAAGCCTCTGCCTTCAGCTCAGGTCATGATCCCAGGGTCCTGGGATCGAGCCCCGCATTGGGCTTTCTGCTCAGCAGGGAGCCTGCTTCCTCCTCTCTTTCTGCCTGCTTCTCTGCCTACTTGTGATCTCTGTCAAATAAAATCTTTAAAAAATATATTACTGCTTATTCACTGTGCACCTGGTCACCTAAGAGCACAATGAATGAATGAGATGAGTGTTGTTTTTATGCCTGCTAACACAATATCCAGTCAGGGGCATGTGGATCAAATCTTGTTATTGAAGAAATACATTTCCTAAGGCTAGAGCTGCCATAGAGAGTTACTCCTCTAAAGGATCTGGGCAAAGTAAATTGAAAATCTGGAAAGAATTCATACTTCTAGATGTCATTAAGAACATTCGTGATTCATGAGAAGAAACCATGATATCAGCATTAACAAGAGTTTGGAAAAAGTTAATTCCAACCTTCATGGATGACTTTGAGGAGCTTGAGACTTGATGTGATGGAAACAGTAAGAGAACTAGGATTAGAAGTAGAGCCTGAAGATATGGCTGAATTGTTCCAATCTCATGATAAAACCTAATGGATGAGGAGTTACTTTTCATGGATGAACAAAGAAAGTGGTTTTTTGAGATGTCATCTACTCCTGGTGAAGATGCTGTGAAGACTTGAAATGGCAACAAAGAATTTAGAGTATTTCAGGAACTTTGTTGATAGAGCAAGTGGCAGGGTTTGAGAGGATTGACTCCAATTTTGAAAGAAGTTCTGCTGTGGGTAAAATGCTAGCAAACAACATCACGTTCTGTGGAGAAATCATTCTTGAAGAGTCAATCACTGCAGCAAACCTTGTTGTCTTATTTTAGGAAACTAACTGCCACAGCTTCCCCAGGCTTCAGCAACCCCCACCCTGACTGATCATCAGCAGCCATCAGCATTGAGACAGTATCCTCCACCAGCAAAAAGATGTTGACTGGCTGAAAGCTCAGATGATGGTTAGCATTTTTAGCAATAAAATGTTTCTTAATTAAGGTGTATATTACTGTTTTTTAGACATAATGCTATCACACACTTAATAGATTACAGTATAATATAAACATAATTTTATATAGAGTGTGAAAGGAAGAAGCTCATTTGACATGGTTTGAGTATTCACTTGATTGTGGTGGTCTGCAGCCCAACCTACAGTAGCTCCCAGGATACCTGTATTTTGTTGACATGTGGCGGTGACTTCTAGGGCCTTCCAAAGTGAATTTTAGTTTCTAACACTGTATTTTAAGTAAATCTTTCCTAAATATATCCTTTATACTTGGTAAATAAGGTTACTCACAGAAAGGTAACATTTTATATACAGATATCACAGATCTGATTATTTCACTCATTTGTTTGAAATCCTCCAGCGTCTTCAAGTTGTTAAGATAAAGACCAATAACCATGCTTAGTCATTTTTTTTTTAAGGATTTTAATTATTTATTTGAGAGAGATCACAAGCAGAGGTAGTGGGAGGGGGAGAAGCAGGCTCCCCACTAAGCAGGAAGCCCAATGCTGGACTTGATCCCAGGACCCTGGGTTCATTACCTAAACTGAAGGCAGATGTTTAACTAACTGAGCCACCCAGGTGCCCCTGACTATGCTTAGTCTTATCTCTTGTCTACCTCTGTAGCCAGATATCCCACCTGTTTTACCTGTGCTTCCTACTTTTTCCAGCCAACCTGACTTTTTTGTTTTTTCCTTATTCTAAGTGCCTAGTTTTGGCCCATTTCAGGATCCTAGCACATACTCTGTTCCTTCTACCCGAATCCAGGTTGGCAACCTTGTATTTCAAGTCTTAGCTTAAATGTCATCTTGGGGGATGTTGTCCTCCCTTTGCCTCTCCCCCTGCTTGTACTTGTGCTCATTCTCTCTCTTTCAAAAATGAATGAATGGAATCTTAAAAACTAAATAAACATCATTTTGGGGAAGCTATACGTCTCTGCTTTACTAGCTTAGTCTCTTTGTATTGTATTCTCCTACTGTTGAGTATTTTTTTTCTTCATGACATTATCCCAATTGAAATAGTGTGTGGTGTTACTCATTTGTACATTCTTGCCATAAGTTGTCACCTGCACAAGTGTAGAAATTGTGTCTATTTTGTCCGTCACTGTATCTTCACTTTTTTAGCTGAGTGCCCAACACATAGTAGATGTTTGATAAATAACTGTGGTGGAGTTATGGTATGTGTATAAAATCTTAAGGCCATTTTTTTCTTTTTTAGGTTAAAGAAAGACCTGATGTGGGAGTTTATATCAAAGATTTATCAGCTTATGTGGTAAATAATGCTGATGATATGGATAGAATTATGACACTAGGCCACAAAAATCGTAAGTGTAGTACATTATTGTGATTGAATATTTGTGTGTTGAGTAGGCTTTTAGAAACAAAATTGATGGGCTTCTGGGTGGCTCAGTTGATTAAACGACTGCCTTAGGCTCAGTTCATGACCCCAGAGTCCTGGGATCCAGCCCTGCTTTGGGTTCCCTGGTTTGCAGGAAGCCTGCTTCTCACTCTCCCACTCCCCCTGCTTGTATTCCCTCTTTTGCTGTCTCTCTCTGTCAAATAAATAAATAAAATCTTTAAAACAAAACAAAACAAAACTGGTATGGTGCTTTGCCCCACAGACTCTGGATTTTTTAAAAAGTTTCTTGACAGCCCTCTCTCCTTGATTATTTACTATGTAGAGAACGTATATGAATGAAAGAGATCACACATTGCCTTGTTTAGCAACCAAAATTTTGTGTCTTGGTACCACTGCTATATATTTGGAACTCTCATATAGCTAGCTGTCTCTTTTTAGCTATAATAATATTGGTTACATTTATTGAACACTTACTGTGCTAAGTGCTTTCTTTATAAGAAGGGTCTTTTTAAAATCCTCAAACTGTACCATGAATATACTAAATTCCTGCTCAAGACTTAGTCTAAGCAACTTGTCCAAGGTTATGTACTACTTAGTGGCGGAGCGAGTATCTGAACCTAGGCCGTTGATCATCATTAACCAAGCACTTTACTGCCTTTCTTTTGTTGACAAGAAAAGCAAACCAAAATTAAATGACATTCTTTATTTTTTTTTTTAAAGATTTTATTTATTTTTTTGACAGAGGGTTCACAAGGAGGCAGAGAGGCAGGCAGAGAGAGAGAGGGGGAAGCAGGCTCTCTGCTGAGCAGAGAGCCTGATGCAGGGCTCAATCCCAGGACCCTGAGATCATGACTTGAGCCAAAGGCAAAGGCTTTAACCCACTGAGCCACCCAGGCGCCCCTAAATGACATTCTTTTTAATAAGAGTTTTAAGTTTTGTCAAAAGACTAAAAAACTGTAGCACTATTTAATACATAGGATGCCCCAGGCCTAGTACTAGTGATGTTGCTAGTAGCAATTAGAGATCAGAGGTAAACAAGAACATAGCAAGTAACCATCTTTTTAAAAGTGTTTTTTGGCTAGACTGTAAATCTAGCAAACTCAAGGATACTAAAAAAAATTTAAAAATCAGTTGCATTCTAATAAGCCAAGTAGCAGAGAAAGGTCAAATTGTAACAGAAAAATGAGCAAAAGATATACATGAATATGTTACTCCCAGAAGAACTATACATAGCAACAAGCATACCACAGGGTGTCCAGCTTGGCAGGTAGTTGGGAAAATGGGTACTAAAACAACAGTGGGGCTTATTTTACCCATTTTGGATGGAGGGATATCCAGGTTTGTGAAGCTCTGAAGAGATGGGCACTGGTGATGGGAATGCCAGGTGCTCTAGCCTTTTTGAAAGGGAGTGTAACAGTAACTGCTGAAATTTTTAAAATACTTTTCTCTTGACCCAGTGTTTCTAATTTTAATATATATCCAGGTACATTGATATATCTATATTGATAAATATCTCAAAAAGTTTAGACATAAAAAATGCCTTTTTGCAACATTATTTGTAATAGAAAGTTTGATGCAGTCTATCAGTAAAATATTGGTTATATAAATATGGCACAGAAATAATATGGACCATATGAAGCTATTAAAAAAAAACACGAGTTAAATCTACATGTAGAGATTTGAAAGATTTTCAAGATATATCATTAAGTGGAAAGAAAGCAAATTACAGAATAGTATGTACTGCATCATCCCATTTATAGATGTAGAAAGAAGCCAAATTGTTAAACAGCTGTGTATTTGGGCAAGTGTGTGTGTGTGTGTGTGTGTGTGTGTATGTGTATCAACTTGTGTGTTTGTTAAATACTAATGAAAGAACATTTAATAGTGGTTACCTTTAGGTAAGGGGAAGTAATATTGGAGAACAGGGTTATATGGAGCTTTTACTTTATGTTTTTTTATGTCTATTTCTGGATTTTTTTTTTTTTAATACGAGGAGTATGTTCATGTATCGCTTATTCAAAAAAATTTTTTTTGAGTTACGATTCCATTCATAGTAGTGATTAAAACCACCCCTTAAAAACAAAGCAAAACAGGGGCGCCTGGGTGGCCCAGTGGGTTAAAGCCTCTGCCTTTGGCTCAGGTCATGATCCCAGGGTCCTGGGATCGAGCCCACATCGGGCTCTCTGCTTAGCAGGGAACCTGCCTCCCCAGCTGTCTCTGCTTGCCTCTCTGCCTACCTGTGATCTCTGTCTGTCAAATAAATAAATGAAATCTTAAAAAAAAAAAAAAAAAGAAATTAGGCCCTTCATTCCATGAACAAATACATGACCTGCTTAGCAATTAAAATGCAAATTTAAAGTAGTCCCATTCGCATTGTAGGCACCATTGTAAATTGGCTAATATTTCTGTAGAGGAAGGTTTTTCAGCCATTAAACTATAATCATTTTCTTTCTTTTTTTTTTTTTTTAAAGATTTTATTTATTTATTTGAGAGAGAGACAGTGAGAG